TCATTATAAGCAGTCAACAATTCTGGTGTCTTGCTAAGTTCGCAGAGCTGGACCCTTTAACTGTCCGTATGCCATCCTATAATAGTAGGTTTCAGCTTCCACGGAAGTCGCACCCAGTAATGTCCAGATTCCAATTTAACATCCTTCAGGTATTGTTCCTGAGTAAAGGATCATTTGGACTTCCCCATTTATATTAATCCCTATGCTGTCCAGCTCCCACAATTAGACTGGTTCAACATCATCCTCGATAGAAGAATACTTGTACTGGTTGATCTTTCAATGAGTAAGAAACACTATACACTATTTACAACTTCCTCTAGTCATTATTACTACGCGGTAGTCTGCCATATATTATACATGGCCCTTACCAGTGTTTAGGAGAGTGACGCCGCAAAGTTTTTTTGAATTTATGCCCTTAATCCTGAATTATTACATGCACAACACCGGCAAGACTACCTCAGCTAGGCCATCATTATTGCCATTAGCTGCAACCTTTACATCAGTCACTGTAGTGTCAGGGTTATTAACATATCATTATTGCAACCATTATTATAAGAATTACATACAACCCTGCACATAACGTATGGTGCCTTCCCTGTTGCATTGATAGCAACTGTTCAATTTGGTATGACAATCCTTTACATTATGATGTCTAGACATCTGATAAATCTGTCAAGTTCTTTCATCTTTCCACTTTAATTATCCCATGAATTATAGGCATTAGAGACAGTTTCTCTTTTCCTTGCCTGACTTCTATAACTGGGTTACCCTTACTGAGGTACTTTACTCCTCTTACCTTGATGTGAGGAACCACTATTACTGAATTCCTGTCACTTGATATGTGGCTATGTAACCCTTAATTATGATTATTACCACTGGATTATTTTTTCCCTTTTGAGACTTGACAGAGACTTCAGAGTCAATATGAAGTTATATCCTTACGACTGTATGGCTGACTGGTCTGCAATTGAACAATTAAATCTTGCCGACCTAGTCTGATTTCCTCCAGAACCGTACTCCGGAGGTTTTGGCAAAAACATCTTTTGGATTAAAATGTTGATCAACTGCCTGGTTTACACCCTTTAATTTATTCAAAGCCTTACTTTTACAGGACAGTTTCCTTCCAATTCTTAAAGCATTCCTTTCCTTTCCATCTGCAACAATTCTCCAGCATATCTCTTTCACAATCTTTAAACCACAATTTGTACACACTCACATTACTCTCTAAAGCATCTAAATAAACTTTAATTCATTAGGGTTCAACGGTTTCTTGATTCAATAAATCCAGACATTTGTATGCCTTCGTCACATGGCCTTTAATAGCCTGAAATGATGCTTTCATTACTTTAAAATCCATGAACTTCTCAGCCACATTAACTCCATCAACCCAGCCATGGTTAGGGAATTATTAATCACGATTACAACTTAAGTAGGCTCCTTATAAGAGTAATTCTTGCACTTTACTCTGTATAAATCCTAGCCACACATGTGGCTAGCAATTAATAGGGCTAATTATCATCCACCACACGATCGATTTAAATTTGTGTACCCTATACCCACTTCCTTCAATCTGTCACTTAATTATTAAGTAATTAATTCAATTAATTTTCACTGATTGCATCCGGTTCAGGATGAACCAGCGGGCAGATATGGAAAATTTTATAGGGTTACCTGTATGTTCTTCAACATTACATGCATTCAAGTAATCTCATTGGGAGACAAAACAACAATAATTGTTTACCGTAGTCACCCCGTGTAGACATGTGAGAAAACTTAGCCACCCCTGGTCACTGCTGTGGCTCCTTCGACCTCACAATCTTACCCATATCTATCCAAGACCAGTATGAGTGGATAGCACCCACAAATACAGCACTACTAATTAATTGTGGACTGTATAGATTATATTAGTTTAACTGAATGGAGGGGGGAGTAGTTAACCACATGTATAATCCATCAAGGAAAAAACACTTGTATATAATACCACCACTTAGCAGATATCTTCCTGGTGGTCACTTGATGTAGCTGGATCACCCACAACCTATCCAATTACAACATACCTAAACTGGCCAGTATCAGTTTGCTATAACTAGAAAGGTTACTTAACTCGGGTGATTGATGCTCCTTATATTCCTCCATTCACCATCTCATTTCGATGTCCTGCTGCACTGATACGGTTCTTATTTCAGCAACACGAGGTATCCGTTGTTATGTCCCAGTTTAGAAGTCCGTGACTTCCATAAAAATTTTACTATCCTCGGACAGGAACCACGAGGTGAACACGTGTTCACTTGGAGAACAGCGACTTATTCCCTTCACACATTCTCTTAACTTAGTGTTATTATCGCCAATTACATTACAGTTCACAAGACGGTTTAACACCTCGTAAATTTTACACACGTTAGAGGTCGACACCATTAAAATTTGAGACCCATGAGTGATATTAATATCACAGGTATTTCCGCTGAACTCCCCATGGTGTCGCACCATTATTCACTCATTTTGCCACTTATTACAGCGGTCCAGTGATTACGTTCGCTCACCTTCCCCCAGAACAGTTACAACACTTCCTGTTTGAGTGAGGCTTATATTAATCCTTTAGGGCCCCTGGAAACACTTGTAATTTTTATACTGTTACATCTAACGTTTGTGATATCATTATTATGTTTTATATTTTTCAGATGAAGGATGAGAAGGAAGTGAGTCAGTATTGACCGTCACTTCAAGTGGCACTGTTAAGTAGCATCAGCTGCAGCAACTGTAACTGCAGCAGCAGCAGCAACGGTAGCAAAAGGAGCAGCAGCAACGGCAGCAACAGTAACAGCATCACTAACAACAACAGTAGCAGGAACAGTAATAGCAGTAGCAGCAACAACAGCAGCAGCAGGAACAGTAACAGCAGCAGCATCAGCAGCAGCAGTAGCAGCAGGAAAAGTAACAGCAGCAGCAACTGGGTCTCCATCAGCCTCCTTACATCACAGTATATGTGTTCTAATACACTATGAATGATAAACAAGTGTTTAATGCATGTAGACTTATCAAGGCTGTTAACATCTGTGCCAAATATATCTTGCATAAGACATTCCTATGGGGAAACCCAGACAAATGTATCATAATGAAGCTGGATTTTACCTTTTTTATGAATACTCCAAAAACATCAAAATTCTTTGACAAAACACTAAAACAGATAATTAATAAACATCCAGATGTATCAGAGTTTGATGTGTCACTGCTGTATGATAGCATCAAAAGCGCCTGTAAAAAGGAACCTCCAATTAAGTGATCAAAAAATGGTATATTGAAAATGAGGAAATGAGTACTACATTACTTCAATACTGAACATGAGGAATAATGTTCTTCATGGTCAGCTTGCAGTTACTGATGAAAATTATAAAGAAAGCTTAAACAATCATCGGGAGTTGTCAACTAGGTGTCTTAAGATATGTGGAAAGAAATATGGGAGAGACGAGGCTGAAGTTACCAAGGAGGTCAAACAGATGAATGATATCCTGGAAGAAATCACGACTGAAATTCTTTTAGAGGATGACATACTGTTGTATTGTAGTGATATGGTGAAGCGTCGTATGATTAATGACAGTCGTGCCAAACTTATGGAGATCTTCCAAAGTATCAGCTATGTCAACCCAGTGTCTTGTATCACCAGTGACCTGAAACTTAAAGAAGACGAAATCTTTGTTGATATTGAGGTCACACATGGACAACATGGAGGTCAAGGTAAACATATAAGTTATCAACACCTTCTTAAACTTGTTCAGACTACAGCACCACCATCATTTACAAGAACTGTCTCACAACAAAAAGGTATACCAACTCACCCACATATAATATTGGTTGAAGGTGTGGCTGGCAGTGGCAAGACTACTCTAGTGAAGTTAGTAATAGAGGAATGGACTCAGGGAGGTCAAGGCAATATTAGTGACTTAGATAATTACGAGCTTCTACTGTGGGTACAGTGCCGGGACCCAACAATGACCTGCTACCAGCAACTCCTGGACAGACTGATGCCAGAAATAGACATAAAATTGAAGGAAATTCATCAGAAGTTGATGAAGCTTTGCAAGATCTTAATTATAATTGACGGCCTTGATGAAGACAATGAAAGTTCGAGAACACTAGTTCAGAGTCTACTGCAAGAATTTAAGTACTGTTCTAATATTGCTTTTCTGTGCACTTCACGACCAGAAAAAGTTGAGAACTTTAGGAGAACAATCCCTGCAGAGTATACTGTGACACATGTAACACTTCATGGTATATCTAAGGAAAATTTAGTACAATTTGTGCGTCTGAACCACCCGGAGATAACCAAACAAACAGGGAATAACAGAAATACTGAAGAATTAGAAAAGGTGATAAATTTAAGACTTCATGAACACTTAAGATTACCAATGAATTTGATTCTCATGATATACATCTGGGACCACGACCCTGACCAGCTAAACTTAACATCTGTCACTCACACCAAGCTATATTATAATATTCATGAACTGTGTAAACACAAGTTAATACACAGACTGACCAACCATCAAGATACAGAGACTATGGATGACAAGGATTTAACTGACAATGTAAATATAATGTTGATGAATATATACAAGACAGCATTGGAAACTCTTTCACGTGATCAGTTAGACCTTGAAGTAAACACTTCAGAAAATCTTAAAAGAAAATGTAAACAATTGTGTTTACCTTATAAAGAAGTGTTGTCAGCGTTCCTTTGTTTAAGACCAACATGGACGATGCTGGGGATCAAGGAGCGGTACTCAGCTCCTCAAAGGGAATAAAAAGACTACTTCGCTGCTCTCTATATTGTCAACAATCTCATTAACCCACAGTATTCTACACCTACATCAGCCTCAGGTACATCAGCCACGTTTCTCAGTATTTGGAGAGAGTGGAAACAGTACATCAAAGCAGCAATATCACCTTCACCTGTCAGTATCAGGGGAGTGTTAGAAGAAAGCATCAGGTCAGGTGTGGTAGACATGAACAAGTACCAGAATGTTCTGATACATGTGGCTGGACTGCTGTACCTGGTACTAGACCAGGTACCTGAGACACTTGCACGGGAAGTGGTTCATCTCCTACAAGAGTGGTATGAGAACCCAAAACAGTGGCTCAACCTCCTTGACATCACTAACATATGTCCAGTAATTGTCAAAGAAGTATCTCAGTTTTTCAATACTAAAGAAATCATTTACATAAGTAGTATACATGTGAAAAGATATTCTGCTCTCCTGCCACACCTCAGCTCCTGCGAGGTGGAGATTACTATCTCGTGTGACCCAAGTGACCTGCCTGAGCTGCCTGACCTGCTGGCTGCCCTCACCCACCACCACTGTACAAAACTGGCACTGCGGCACCACTACTATCATGCTGACACAACTACCTTTTCTGACAACCTACTACAACTTGTACAATCTCGGTGAGTTGTTGTTAATGTTAATAATGTTACTGAATACGATAATGTTATCTTTGTTATTACATTATAGGTGTTAATATTGTTGCTGGTGTTAACATCATTGTTGGTTTTAATATTGTTATTGGTATTGACATCGTTGTTGGTGTTAACATTGATGTTAACATTGTTGTTGTTGTTAACATTATTATTGATGTTAACATTGTTGCTGATGTTAGCATCATTGTTGGTTTTAATATTGTTATTGGTATTGACATCGTTGTCGGTGTTAACATTGATGTTAACATTGTTGTTAACACTGTTGTTAACATTGTTGTCGGTGTTAACGTTGTTGTTGGTGTTAACATTGTTGTTAGTGGTAATATTGTTGGTGGTGTTAGCATTGTTGTTTTTGTTAATACTGTTGTTGCTAACATTGTTGTTGGTATTAACATTTTTGTAATGTTAATATTGTTGTTGGTAGTAACATTTTGTTATGTTAACAGTGTTGTAATGTTAAGACTGTTGTTGGTGTTAATTTATTGTTATTGTTAAAATCGTTGTTGGTGTTAACATCGTTGTTGGTGTTAACATTGCTGACGGTGTTAGCATTGTTGCTGTTAATACTGTTGTTGTTAGCATTGTTGTTATTAATACTGTTGTTAACATTGTTGTTAGTGTTAACATTGTCGTTGGTGTTAACATTGGTGTTGGTGTTAACATTGTTGTAATGTTAACATTGTTGTTGGTGTTAACATTGTTGTTGGTGTTAACATTGTCGTTGGTGTTAACATTGGTGTTGGTGTTAACATTGTTGTAATGTTAACATTGTTGTTGGTGTTAACATTGTCGCTGGTGTTAACATTGTTGTAATGTTAACATTGTTGTTGGTGTTAACATTATCGTTGGTGTTAACATTGTTGTAATGATAACATAGTTGTTTGCGTTAACATTGCTATAATACTAACATTGTTGCTGGTGTTACAATTGTTGTTAGTGTTAACACTGTTGTAATGGTAACATTGTTGCGATGTTAAATTTGTTGGTGGTGTTAACACTGTTGTAGTGTTAACATTATTGTTGGTGTTAAACAGCCAGAGGGTATTGAAGACAAGGGACCTTGAAGACAGCTAGGGGGTCTTGAAAATAACAGGGGATTTCAAGACAGCTAGGACTCTTCAATAATGCTATATGTCTTCAAGACGGCCAGTGGTCTTGAACACAGCTCAGGGTCTTGAGGACAACTATGGGTCTTGAACACAAATAGGGGTTTTCATGACAGTGATGGGCCTTCAACACAGCTAGGGGTCTTAAAGACAGAAGTCTTGAAGACAGCCAGTGTTCTTCTAGGCTGCCAGGGATCTTGAAGACAGCCTCTGCTTTTCAAAATAACAAGGGTTCTTTAAGTTGACTGTGGTCTTTAAGACAGTCAAAGGTCTTGAAGACTGCCAGATGTCTTGAAGGCAGCTGAGACTCTTGAAGGCAGCCTTGGCTTTTCAAAATAACTACGAATGTTTAAGTTAACTGGGGACTTTTAAGGCAGGGTCTTGAAGATAGACAGGGGTGCTGAAAACAGCACAGGGTCTTGAAGATGGACAGGGTGCTGAAAACGCACAGGTCTGAAGATGGACAGGGTGTGAAAACACAGGGTCTTTAGATGGACAGGGGCCTGAAACAGCACAGGGTCTTGAAGATGGACAGGGGTGCTGAAAACAGCACAGGGTCTTAAAGATGGACAGGGGTCCTGAAAACAGCACAGGGTCTTGAAGATGGACAGGGGTGCTGAAAACAGCACAGGGTCTTGAAGATAGACAGGGGTGCTGAAAACAGCACAGGGTCTTAAAGATGGACAGGGGTCCTGAAAACAGCACAGGGTCTTGAAGAGAACTATGGATCTTGAACGCAGCTAGATGTTTTCAAGACAGCCAGGAGTCTTCAAGGCAGTGAGGAGTCTTGAAGATACCTAGGGATCTTAAAGACAGTTTGGGGTCTTGAACACAGATAAGGGTCTTGAATACAGACTCAGCTTTTGAAAACAATTTGGGGTCTTGAAATTAACATGGGTGTTTAAGACAGGGGTCTTTGAAAATAAACAAAAGATCTTGAAGAAAACCAGGAGTTTTGAAGACCGCCAAGAATCTTGAACACTGCCTTGGGTTTTGAAAACAACTAGAGGTCTTGAAGTTAGCAGGGGTCTTGTAGGCAAAACGGGTCTTGAAGGGAAGTTTGTCTTGAAGACAGCCATGGGTCTTGAAGACACAGAGGGGTCTTGAAGACACTTAGGGATTTTAAGACAGCCATTAGTCTTATAGACAGTCAGGGATCTTGAAAGCAACAGATGTTTTGAAGACAGCTTGTGGTCTTAAAGACAGCCAGAGGTCATGAAGAATGCCAAGGAACTTGAAGACAGCTAAAGATCTTGAAGACAGGTCTTAAAGACAACCAGGGGTCTAGAAGTCAGTCAGGGGTCTTGAAGAAAGCAATGGGGCCTTGAGGAGAGCTTAGAGTCTTGAGAACAGCCAGGGGCCGTGAAGACAGATAGGGGTCGTGAAGATAACCAGGGATCTTGAAGACAGCTAAGGGCCTTGACATAGAACTTGAAGACAACTAGAGTCTTGAAGACAGCCAGTGATCTTGAATACAGAGAGGTGTCTTCTAGACAGCTATGGGTTTTTGAGAGAGAGAGGAGTCTTGAAAATAGCCAGGAGTGGAAATATAAACACATATGCAGTTTAATGTGATCCTTTATTGACAACGTTTCGCCCACACAGTGGGCTTTTTCAAGTCATAAACAGATCTATTTGTGACTTGAAAAAAGCCCACTGTGTAGGAGAAACGTTGTCAATAAAGGATCACATTAAACTGCATATGTGTTTATATTTCCATTGTGTCGGTATTTTAAACCATTTATTTTCAACAGCCAGGAGTCTTGAAGACAGCCAGGAGTCTTGAAGACAGCCAGGAGTCTTGAAGACAGCCAGATGTCATGAAGATAACCAGTGATTTTAATGACAGCCAGGGGACTTGAAGACAGCCAGGGGTCATGAAGACATCCAGAGGTCTTGAAGAAAGCCAGGGATCTAGAAGATAGCCAGAGGTCTACTGGTAATCCCCCTTATGTGTGCTGGGAGGTAGTTGAACAGTCTTGGGCCCTTGACACTTATTGTGATGTCTCATAGTATATTTGTGGCACTCATGTTGTGCATTGTGGGAATGTTGCACCACCTGCCCAGGCTTGTGTTGTTCATTGTGGGAATGTTGCACCACCTGCCCAGGCTTGTGTTGTTCATTGTGGGAATGTTGCACCACCTGCCCAGGCTTGTGTTGTTCATTGTGGGAATGTTGCACCACCTGCCCAGGCTTGTGTTGTTCATTGTGGAAATGTTGCACCAGCTGCACAGTCTTGTGGTGTTCATTGTGGGAATGTTCAACACCTGCACAGTCTTGTGCTGTTTATTGTGGGAATGTTGCGCCACCTGCACAGTTTTTGTGCTGTTTATTGTGGGAATGTTGCGCCACCTGCACAGTCTTGTGCTGTTTATTGTGGGAATGTTGCACCACCTGCACAGTCTTGTGCTGTTTATTGTGGGAATGTTGCACCACCTGCACAGTCTTGTGTTGTTTATTGTGGGAATGTTGCACCACCTGCACAGTCTTGTGCTGTTTATTGTGGGAATGTTGCACCACCTGCACAGTCTTGTGCTGTTTATTGTGGGAATGTTGCACCACCTGCACAGTCTTGTGCTGATCATTGTGGGAATGTTGCACCACCTGCACAGTCTTGTGCTGTTTATTGTGGGAATGTTGCACCACCTGCACAGTCTTGTGTTGTTTATTGTGGGAATGTTGCGCCACCTGCACAGTCTTGTGTTGTTCATTGTAGTGATGTTGCGCCACCTGCACAGTCTTGTGTTGTTCATTGTAGTGATGTTGCGCCACCTGCACAGTCTTGTGTTGTTCATTGTAGTGATGTTGCGCCACCTGCACAGTCTTTTGCTGTTTATTGTGGGAATGTTGCACCACCTGCACAGTCTTGTGTTGTTCATTGTAGTGATGTTGCACCACCTGCACAGTCTTGTGATGATCATTGTGGGAATGTTGCGCCACCTGCACAGTACCACTACTATCTTCCAGGTGTAAATTATTATGTATCTTTCTGTGGTGAAGCTGAGTCTTTCATATTATACCTATGTAAGATCACTTATATTATACCAATGTAAGATCACTTATATTATACCCATGTAAGATCACTTATATTATACCCATGTAAGATCACTTATATTATACCCATATAAGATCACTTAAATTATACCCATGTAAGATCACTTATATTATACCCATGTAAGATCACTTATATTATACCCACATAAGATCACTTATATTATACCATGTATGATCACTTATATTATACCCATGTAAGATCACTTATATTATACCCATGTAAGATCACTTATATTATACCCATGTAAGATCACTTATACCCATGTAAGATCACTTATATTATACCATGTAAGATCACTTATATTATACCCATGTAAGATCACTTATATTATACCCATGTAAGATCACTTATACCCATGTAAGATCACTTATACCCATGTAAGATCACTTATATTATACCCATGTAAGATCACTTATATTATACCCATGTAAGATCACTTATATTATACCCATGTAAGATCACTTATATTATACCCATGTAAGATCACTTATATTATACCCATGTAAGATCACTTATATTATACCCATGTAAGATCACTTATATTATACCCATGTAAGATCACTTATATTATACCCATGTAAGATCACTTATTTTATACCCATGTAAGATCACTTATATTATACCCATGTAAGATCACTTATATTATACCCATGTAAGATCACTAACATTTATGTAAACATTTTTGAGTTGTATATATTATGAAAACATTGTTCACTACCATTTGGGTGTAATATAGTGAAACATTTTTCACTACCACTTGGTGTAATATAGTGTAACATTTTTCAACTACCACTTGGTGTAATAT